TTCTTTGGTAACTCCCAAAGCGTCCTTGTGTAATCTCCTCTCCTTGAATCTCAGCTGGCCTAGTGACCTGCTTTAACCAATAAAGGCAGAAGCCCTGGCAGCTTTTGCTTTTGTACTCTTGTGAGCCCTGACCTACCATGTAAGAAGTCTGGCTACCCCACTGGAAACACCACTTACAGAGGCCATATGGAAACACCAAGTGGAGAGGGAGAGGTCATGAGATTACATGGAGAAGAACTGAGGAATCCAGACAACAGAAAGAACAAGGCACTAAACACAGGACCCCAGCAGAGTCATTCAAACCCTCACCATTGGAGACTTCCTAGTGGAGGCATGAGACACGCAAGTCAGGAAACCATCTTCGACATTCTAGCCCCAGCAGACATGATGTGGAGCAGAGACAAGTCATCTCTGCTATTCCCTGTCCGAACTCTTGACCCACAGAGTGGTGAGAAACAATAAAAGTTCTTGTTTTATGCTAGTCAATTTTGGCATACTTCATTATTTAGCAGTAGATAATTAAAACACACCTAAAGGGATAAGCTCCACAGGGAAAGTTGAGGCCAGGAGGAGAAGGGGGTAAGAGGCACTATGAGAATGAATAGAAAATTAAAGAACCAGGGAAACTGAGGCAGATGCACAATCCTGAGGAAGCAAGAAGATGCCAGAAACATAGAATTGTGCTTCAGACAATCCATTCCACCTATATCCTGCCTTTAGCCCACCACAATAGAGGTAAAATGTCACTGTGTCAAAGTATGGTCCTAGGACAGAACAGCCTTAAAAAACCTAGCTATTTCTGCCAGTTTGATCATGAAACCTAAGCCATACTGACTTCTTTAAAAGGTTTTAGTCTACATCTCCATATCAAGATTCTCCATATGGTTTTCAACTGAGTTATACACTTGAGATTGCCTTAATCCCAAATTTCCTAGATGAGGAAGGTGTTCCTTAAAAAAAATAATTATACACTGATAGCATGCTATTATTTATATATACACTCTTATGTATATGCTATATACTTCTATATATTTTATATATATATATATATCTGTAGCAAATTAAACTCCAGATTCATTTGTGAAATTCTGCAGGGGGCATCAATCTCCATCTGCTAGGCCAGTTGCACCACCAGTATGCGGTGCTGTTTTGAGAGCCACATTTAAGTCGCAGATAAAGGACACAGTAAGTCTTGCAGTAACTGAATTGTCTGGACCTGGCTCCACTTGAGAAGCCGAAAAGTCTTCCACAACTGACTTACTAATAATAGTTGAGGTTGTTCAGAGAGTAACAAAACTATTAGTTGCCCCCCTCTTTTTTTTCTTTTGCCAATGTCTCCATTTCCTTATTTGGGAATTTTAACGATGCCTGCATCATAAAATTGTTATGAGGATTAAATAATATGTGTAAAATGTATAAAATAATGACTGGCATAAAGCAAGCACTCAATAATAAATCTTTTCTATTTTTTCCATATGTACCATATTATTTATTCATCAACAGAAATACCTTATCATTTTTACCCTCAAGTCTTTCTCTCTCGCTCTCTCTCAAGTAGTCTCTCCAGCAAGACAGACAGACCTCATTATGTGATGGCTCAGGACTCCAAGAACAAAAAAGAGGAAGCAAATCTTTAAGATGCAGACTTGCAAGCTGCAATGTCACTTCTGACACATACCATTAATCATAGTCAGTCACAATGCCAGCCCAGATTCAAGGAAAGGGGAAACAGACTACCTCACGGAAAACTGGCAAGGTAACATTGTAAAAAACCATGTGGGATGGGAACTATTGTTACAGCCATCTTTGGAAACACAATCTACCACAAAATGCAAATTAAAACTACAGAAAAACATTTCTCATCCATCAAATTGGCAAAAATCTAAAAGTTGACAAGACTTCAAAGAAATAGGCACTCTCACATACTGTAAATGGAAGTAGAGTATAGTACAGGTCCCGTGAAGGGGAACGAGGCAATAATTACCCACTGACACGGCAGCCATAACCCTACTTCTACGTCCACGCATAGAATATGTACCCAAGCTCATTTTGTTAACTTCACTTTTCTTTTCCTGGGCCCACAAGAAGTGGGGAAGCTATGATTTTTTTTCTTTTAAATTAATTAAAACCATCATTAATTGACATGCTACGAGATCATGGCTGGTCTTATATTCCACCTCATGAGCTGAGGGCCTCAGACTTTACCCCGTGGGGTCTGGTTCTGCCATCAACCTGCTAGTCTGCGTCTCTCTGTATGGATGAGCTTCAGCTTCCATGTCTCTCATACATTAATATGGAATGAACTCATCTGCCTGGATATTCCTCATGCAACCCTGTTAATCTCCTGAATACTCTCTATCTGGTGTTGTACCTCACACTCTAAAGTCAATGACAGACTTATCAGGACTATTTTCAAACACACATACATATCCCATGTACACCTGAACACAAGCAGGTTTATTTCTCCAAAATTATCCCTCAGAAAAGTCATCTTTCTCCAGGCCAAGCGAAATCTCTTCACGGGGAGCACTCTAATCACTTATCTGAATTGCACGTTATATTTGGGGAAATCACATTAGATTGAAGCCACTTCGATCAATGTTACGTTCAGAGGGCTAAAAAAGGTCACCAGATAAATTATTTAAAAACAAGAGGCAAAGAAATTTAACAATGATTTAGTCACTACTCTTGGAGATACGACCTCAAAAACAAGCATAGGACATGTAACAACAAGCATTTTAAAGATCATTTTTAAGAACAATATAAGTGGTTACAATGTGGAAGTCACTTATCTACAGGGTGAATGAAAGAAACTGCTAACTTGATATTTATACAACAGGTAATTTGAAGCATGGGACTTCTTATAACATTATGCGTGTATAAAACATTACTACCTTTCAAAAAACATTACCTTCTTTCAAATAAACTTAGACAACAAGCTGACAAGCTTTGAAAAACTGGTAGGTGTCTCAGAATATCAAAGACAAATGTGAAAATAGGGAATAGAACTCATGAGCGGGAAAAAGTGAACATATTTCAAATAATTAAAATACGCATATATGTTTATCTCTAAACTAGGGTGTATATACGCAAATCTAAACAAACTTGTTTACAACTACCCTAGAACATATTTTAGGCATCATCACCACCCTCCCCCAAAAATTCACACTTGACCAAAGATTCTGAGGCTTAGCACTGCCGACATTTGAGGCCGGATATTGTTTTGAAGGCTGTCATGTGCGTTATACCATATTTAGCAGCATCCTTTGCCTCTTCCCACTGGATACCAGTATTATTCCTTTCCCCTCTCAGCTGTGACAAAACTGTCTCCAGACACGGTCAGATGTCCACTGGAGGGCATAATCACTCCAGTTGAGAACCACTGCACTAGACAAATGCTGTCAAACATCTCCAGTTAAGTAACTTCCACATTTTTATGTCCCATTTTCTAATTATCTGAAATCTAATTAAAATATAGGTTCTTCTCTGGAGAACAGCTGGTTACTATTATCATTACTCATCTACTCCATTAAATTTTGTAAAAATAAGAAATTTAAGGCAGTTGTTATGTACAGCTGTTACTGAAGAATAACATTACAATATACACATTTATCAAAATAAAGGGTTCACAGAACCAAATCCATTAAAGATAAGCAGTTGAAATCAATCTTCATCAGAATGGAAATATTAGATACTTTATACAAGTATAACCATGCTGTTAGCACTTACCTACATTCTGATTTTTTCATTTTGCTCAGGCTTCCCTTCTCCGAGACAAACAACAGATTTTTTTGTTGTCCTCATAAAAGAAACTTCAATTGTAACTACTAAATGAAGGGGAGTATAAACATGGTCAAAAACAGATAACCCAAATAGTTTTACCTGGGAGTACATCTATTTTTCGTAATCATCTGGATATGAAACCAGATGCTAAAATTAATTTATAGTCTCTGAATCTCTAGAAGATAGATGGAGGGAAGAGAGAGGAGTATAAAATTACTTGAAAAATTTGGACCAAGGTTAACTACTTATTAAGGATAACAATGTGCATTATAATTTTTTCCAAACCTTTTATTTTCACGTGCTGATGTCACCGTTTATATCCAGACAATAACCAAGTACAAAACAGAACGCAAGAGTCTTAATTTATAGTTTGTAGTTCAAAAAGAATCTCTTTATTAAACCTGTTACAGTAGGATCCATTTTTTAAAATATAAGTACAAAAAAATTCTGGTAGGATTGTCACCAAAAATGTAATCAATGAGCAATGGTATAAGAAGTTATTTTCCTTTACGTTTGCTTCTCCGAATTCTCTAATTTTTTCTATAAAGGATGTGTATTTTTTTTCAAACCTTAAGCAAATTCTTTTTGCACTCCCCTTTTCCACCAATTTTATCAGTTTATGCCCTATCAACTAAGATTCTTGTACAATTGCTGACATTAATCTAGTTTCCTGGGTTTTATTTCAAACTATCCTTAACTTTCCCTACGCTAATTTTTGTTAAAGGCATTTCCTATTAACCAAAGTTAAAATGTGGCCTTTGAAAAACTTGATTTCAGATGAAAATTATGCATAAAAAGCCAACTATCTTATAATTAGACCCCTGTTAGAAAGTGAATACTCTATGCAATGCAAGACAAACCACAGTTCTTACCTTTCTATTTCCCGTCCAGACAAGAACTGTCCCATTTCTTTTTAAAAAAGTACACATATACATTTTTCATTTGGCATTCCATGTTCAGTAAAAATCAGTTCAGATTTTAATTACTGTGGAATCTTCACAATTCTAGCAATGGCAAAGCTGAATTTTATCTCGCTGTTATCTAACAAAAAGCAAATAACATTATAAGATTCCAAATGTTTCACCTGGTAAAAATGAGAATATATTTCAATAAAGAACATACCACCTAAAAAAATAGTATTGCTATCTAGTCATATGATTTTCTCATTAGATTTCTGCAGGCCCTACAGGTTTAGAATAAACGTAGCATTCACATAATACTATAGTCCATGAAAAGAGTATATTCTTTTATTGTTTTTGTTCATACATGTTAAGTTTCAACTTTCAATAATAAAATTCAATAAATTTGATTCCTTAATAATAAAAACTTGCTTTACACATTATTTACATGTTGCCAAAGTCTACAGCCATACAAAACATCACAAGGATTTGACTCTATGCATGGTACCATCACACTGAAGGAGGGAGCTAATCAAGTAACATACATTCAAAGATTAAATTGTAGATTTGCACAGTGTATTTGGCACTGTCATTAACCTTCTAACACCTTCCTCTCTTAAGACAGGCATTATTAGGCCTTACTTACAATATACCATAATTTGCTCTTCACATCAAAACCAGCTTTCAGACTTTGTAACAGTAATCAGTTTTAAAAAACAAAATACAACCAGAAGTGGGAATGGAATTCAAGCCCTCCAACTTCTTGCTACACTCCGAGCTGCCATCCACAAAGCAGGTTTAATGTGATAACTTTTCCATTGTGGGGAGTGTCAAGAAGAAACAATTTAAAGACAATATCCCTCAATACACATAAACAATGCTTTTCTTTAAAATTATCAGTTCTTCTTGGGAGTACAAAGGGAGCCCTGATAATGCATAACTAGTGATGACTGGGGCAGGAATTATAGAATGACCAATGCCTTTCAAGTTGTGGAGATTGTACTAGCAGGGGAACTCATGAGGAGCAGGATCTGGAATGCCAACATGTGAATTAAGAATCCTTAGCAACTTGTTTAAAGGGTCTCTCCCCAGGATTATAACAGACTCAGCTCACAGATTATAGATTTACTCTGATACGTAACATTAACAGCTATGAAATGGAAAAAGAAAATAAAAGGAGAAGAAATCAACTATAAAACCTTTGGCTATACCCCCAGTGGATAATTTATTTGACTAACTTCATTTTAACAAATGTTAAATCACTTCAATCAAGCCCATTAAATTTATTTCATTAAAGCCATACATATTCCAGAATGTTTTAAAAAGACATACGTTTACAAAGCATAAACTCAGTCTTAAACTAAGGCAAAAATGCCTCAAGAGAACATGGATCACAGTACAGGGGGATAGATATAAAAAATTCTCTGGTAAAGTTTAGAGATACACTGTAGCCTCACACAAAACTTTTAGCAATAAATTAAGACAAAAAAACAAGTCTTATGATGTACAAAGGTCTATGAAGTGCAAAGTAATATCACTGAACCAAAATTTAGTTTAATCATTTTATTTCAAGTGTATTTTTAAAATCGTAAATGGGGTTTTATAATCCAAAATCGAAACATTTATTCTTCATAGCTTCAGAATTCGACAAGCAATTCCAGACCCTGCTTTTCAAATCCAGTCTTCTTTGCTATTTTTCAGACTTCTGAAACCTAGTATTTAAACTACTCCATTCTAATTTTAGATAACAATTATACACTTGTTGATAAGATTTTTCTGAAAACAGTCCATCAAATATAAAGTACGGTTTCTGTCCAAGGATCAGAAGTGAGGGAAGAAATATTAAACACCTATCAAAAAATCATTTACTCATTTAAAAAAATAACAGAACCAGTACTGTTCTCTGTCATGAAAGAGAACAGGTAAAATTAATTTAAATTACTTTTGTAGACTTTGGTAATATTGTATTACCTACATGGGTCTCAATCTTACTTAAAGATCTTTCGTGCAAAGTCACCCACAGGATTTACTGAGTAAAAATCCTGGGTTCTAACATGGCCCTAAACGTGCTATTCCAAAGAGGAACAGGTTGCTTTTGAGGAAGAGCTGCCTTGGTCACTTCCCACAAATGTTTATTTTAAATAAACACAGATAACTGAAATATTTTTCAAACTAACTTTGGGTACTATCTAGCACAGTGCCCACCAAACAAAAAAGAAAATCAAAACTTTCTTTCTTTTAGGAAACTTTCTACCTTTAAGATTACAACCTTTTCACCTTTTTTTGACTGCCTAATACAATATTTAAATTTTTTAAATTCTGTATTTAAATGTTGTAAAGTTCTTTTTCAAATGATCTTCACAACCCAGAACACAAGACACCAGGGCAACACTCTCAAGTCACATTGTTTGACAATAACAATGAGACGAAAATGGACGGACATCTGAAAACAGGTATTCATTCCCCTTGCTCCAAAGTTGAGCAACTTTTTAACACGTGAGCAAGAGAACTCCACTCCTCTGGAGATCTCTCAAACTCAGAATGCTTCCATTTAATGAGTCAATATATTATTCTTAAAAATGAAAGTTTGGTCACCAGGAAAGACTGAACGAAAATAATTCCCCTGCTCCCAAAACGACAACCAGAGAGTTCTAATCAACCCCTACCCTCCCCACAAAACAGGGAAGTAGAGGGGCTGAAGCCTTTAAATCTGAAATTCCAGCTCCTAAAACACTGTTGCTATTTGCTCAAAGGTGCAGGTGTACATAGTTCCTTCTCCAATACGGCCCCATTTATCAGTTTATTTCCATACACACACGCACACACACACACATACTCACTCACACATACTCTTACTCTCAAGTAAGACACTTTTTTGTGTTTGTTGATAAATTATGAGGATTATGAACTAGGTGTGTAGAGGGTTTCATAGGTGCTTTGTAAACATCAGAGTCACTTGGGTCCTTTTCTCCAAAAGCCTGAAATCGGATTATACAACCAGGGATCACTACTTTCCCAGACGCTGTTCACAGGCTGCATATTGACGAAGGGCAGAGAAAAAGTCCTCATAACTGATGTTCAGGTGGGAAGGCAAAGAGCTGAAAAGAAAGCACAGAGGAAAAAAACCAATTAGATGATATACTGTAATTTGGAGGGGGAGGAACCAGAAGAGTAATGACCAAAAAGAGGATAAGGACAGAAGAAAGTAAACTGTAAACGTATGCCAAACCATTTCTACCAAATGATTGTAAAACTTACCGTGAAACAGTTCAAATAAAAATAATATCTCCTTCTTTCCACAAGAAGAAAAAATCAACGTGTAGTGAGAGAGAGATTCAGAACCTATTAAAGTATAAATCTAGATTAATGCAAAACTGGAGATCTATTTATAAAGGATCTCACTCAAATTCACTTCAAGAACTCGTCTCTGTCCGAGTAAAGCCAACACTGAAGGTTTATGAAAGCCAGGCTTACGGCAGGCAGAGCAGCACACCACTCCCAAGTAAGGATATACTGAAGCCGTGTGACAGGCACCAACAAATGAACAGTATTGATCTCCACATGTCCAGTTGCTCAAGGGGGGGATTACAGTGTGAAGACCAGCACTTTAAAGGCAGAGTGAACATATGGCCAGAGGGTTCCCCTTTAAGTATTTTAAGCGCTTAAAATAATTTTCAGTAATTAACATGAAAAAAACCTCTAATTTATACAGCTTTATTGTCAGGCTTTGGAAACTCCAAACAGAGCCAAATACGGGTCAGAGCACAAGAGTCACATTCAGCATTCTACAGTCACATACGTGTACCCACAAACAAGGACTGAACAAACCTACCACTCGGGCAGAATGAACTCCTGCCTGATCCCGTGGTTCTCCTTAGCGAGGCTTTCTTTATCCTTCCTTTTTCTCCCCCTGCTTTCTTGAGATATAATTGGCATATAATCTTTATCCTTCCTTTGACTGGCAAGAATTCTGAAACAAGTCACCTACTTCCCTTCATCTCCTTATCTCTTAATAATCTCTGCTATCAACCTTCTATCTTACTCACTCTACTGAAATGATATCCTCAAAGGACAAATCTAATGTCATTCCTCTTGCTAAAGCTTGCTTCAAACGTCCTCTTCAAACTACCCACTTTCCTAAGTCTTCCTCATTTTACCTCCTTCATCAACAGCCTCATCTCCTATCACTCAATTAGCACTTAGCGCCACTACCCCTCAGTGCCTCAGAAGTGGTCTTGCTATTTCCCGCTCTGTTCTGTCAGGGCTCCACCCTTCTACTTCTCCACATTATGAATAACACATTTTCCTGTCATCACGGTGCTTACAGTCTGGTGGGCAGCAGACAGACATACAGCAAAGCTCAATATAACGTTACAGAGCTACGACAGACATATGTATCAGATCCCTGGGAAAGCCTGTTAGGTGCTAGGTATCCATTATCAGATTTAAATCCTCAACTCCATTTTAAAATGCCCATTTACAAATATAAAGAAGTATAAATAGCTTTCCAAAGTCATGTTATTGAGCTGCATAGCCAAGATTCAAACCAACATCTATCTGTTCTAAAACACACTCTTCCCTAAAACCACTCCCAAGCTCACAAAGCATCATTGCTACCTTTCTCCGAGCCCACCTGAAAGGCACCTGAAATGACACGGAAAACCATCGGAGAGGGGCCAGCCTGGTAGCGCAGCGGTTAAGTGCGCACTACGCTTTGGCGGCCCAGGGTTCGCAGGTTCAAATCCCGGGTGCGCACCGATGCACTGCTTGTGAAGCCATGCTGTGGCGGCATCCCATATAAAGTAGAGGAAGATGGGCGCGGATGTAGCCCAGAGCCAGTCTTCCTCAGCGAAAAGAGGAGGACTGGCATCGGATGTTAGTTGAGGGCTAATCTTCCTCACAAAAAAAAAAAAGAAACAAAGAAAAGAAAAGAAAATCCCTGGAGAAAGAGAGACAAGAGAAACAAATGCTACTATAAGGAAACCCAGAATCTGGAGATTTGGGTTCTAATTCCACTATGTTACAAGCTTGATTAATGTCTCATTTTCCCCACCTATAAAACGAGGCAGCACCAGATGATCTACAGCCCTTTCTGACCCTAATATGCTACATGTTCTTTTCTACCTTTTTATTTGATACCCTTTTCCCCTCCTGCCCTCGAGCTTGAGGGCTTTCTTAAAGAACCCTTGCTACTGTGCTCTTCTATGTACACTTCAGAGAAGTCCTCTATTTTCATAGATTCAACTAATTCTACTTCCTAGGTACTGACGATCCCCAAATGTACTAGACTTCTCCTCGAAGCACCAATTCGACATCTTCATCTGCCCTCCTAAGTGTTTCCATCTAAACAGACTATGGCCTCAAAATCATCTTATCCCTGAATTCAACATCTTTCCCTCAAAATCAATGCTCCTTTGACTTCCCGTTTCTCTCAATAACACCATAATTCACGCCTTTAGGCTTAAAAACTTAGGAGTCATTTCATTTCTTCTCTAACTTTTACCACAATTAGTAAAGTGCTAGGCCTGCAAATATACTTGATAATTACTTCTCATGAGAGAGAGAATTTGAAGTATTTTCCTCCCAAGACTCATTTTTAAATATATTTTAAGGCTCCTAGGTCTCTCCTGTATTTTAAATCAGGGGTCAGCAAATACAGCCCGGAGCCTGCCACCTGTTTTTGAGATAGAATTTAATAGAACACGGTCACACACGTTGTTTACATATTACCTGTGGTTGTTCAGCTACACTAGCAAATGTGGAGTAGTTGCAAGAGACTATCCGGCCCTTTATACAAAAAGTTTGCCAAACTCTTTTCTAAATAAGCAATTTCATTCTCATCACTGTATTCTCCCCTAAATTACAGCTATGGCCTGTCTTCACTTGTTTTTTTACCTCATCGCTTCCCAAATCCAATTTACTCTAGTACACAGGTGCCAAACGAATCTCCCAAAAGCACCATTCCCGCATTATCCACAGGCTCAACGGTTTCCTACTGCCTGTCGAAACAACTATACACATTCCTTACACTGGGTTTAAAGACTTCCCAATGTCAACACCCCAAACTATGTGATTTCACCTTATACTACTATCTAACACTAACTCTCTGCTCCGGTGTGGCCACTTCCCTCACTACTTCTTTAAAATGTGATGCCATTATCCGCCCCACACACAGTTTTTCTTTTTTCCCCTGACTGTCCCCTACATTTCTCACCTTTCTAATTACAAAAATTATATCCATTTTACATATCCCGGATCAAGTCACATTGTTTCCGTAGAATCAACAGCTCTAGCCACAGAGATCTCTCACTCCATAGTGTCAATACCAAACATTTGCACAACCACACACTCTCTTATGTCTGAGTCATTTATATGTCTTTATTTTACCACTGACACTGTGAAATACCTGAGGGAAAGGATCCAGTATTATAATTCTTTGGGAATTCCCACCACAGTACAGTGCTGGGCTCAAGAAACACTTGCTGAATCAAATTAAAGTCAGTCCACTTTTCATTACTTACACAATCTCAGTCAATCTGATGTGCCAGGGAAGAAAGCCTAATGTGCTGTCCACAGGACCAAACTTCAGTACTAAATCAGGATCAGGGAAACCATTTGAGCCTTGGAAAGAAAGAAATACACATGAACTTAACATGTACTGTTTACAAACAAAATGACCAAGGGCAAAATCTGTTCATCAAATTGGCTTCTTACACTTTGAGGATCTGTTCTCTTCAGATGCTTTATTTGCATGTTTCTATACCCCTAACCCACTGCCCAAAATATACTTTAATATCTATGTTATTTCCAAATGTGGAAGTTTTCCCTAAAGTCCATTTAACTGGACTGATTACCTGATAAGGAGGGGTACCCCAACTCCCACCCTAAACCCTCCAACCCCCATATCCCACCTATCTTTCAAGACTCAACTTAAGTGTTCTCTTGGTATCCTGGGAACTGCACTGCTTTAAAGGCACGAAAGCCTATTCTGGCCACAGGATCAAATAACTTCAGAGATGAAAGCAAACTTAAAAACTATCTACTCTCCTTCCTTCCCCCAAGCCCCTCATTTTATAGCTAAGGACCCAGAAAGATCAACTCCTGGCTATACCGTATAAAAGTCCTCAGTGTTCCCCAGAGCCCGAGCCCCTAGGAGGGGAAAAGGAGACCCTACACCTGCCTCAATAAAGCCATGGCCTTCTTTTGCTTTACAAACTGGTTCCCATGAGCGACCTGGCTTGAGAAAAAAAGGGGATAAGGATATTTCAACTGCATAAAAATAAAGTAAAATAAACTTTTACTTAAAACTCTTAAAATAAAGAGTCACTAGTATAACAGAAAAGATGCTATAATCCAAGAGACCCAGGTTCTGACATTTTCTAATAACCTCAGTTCTGCCTCTAACTTTCTTGTCACCCAAGCTCTCCAGGGCTTAGTTCCATCATTTGTTAAATAAGGAGACTGGATTAGACGGGCCCATCCAGTAGCAATTAGAGAATTATTCCCATAACAAAGTCTCTTTAAAAGCCCACGTTGGCAGAGTGAATGGACTAAGCAGCAGAATACATGTTCCTCTGCCTGCTGAGAGAGTCAGTTCTCTTTAGTGAAAAAAACGACAAGAAGGGACTTCTGGCTAATAGTGATTTGGAGGATCCTCTCCAAAAAAACATGTATCAAACTGGACAAAACCAATCAAGGGGACTGGATATTAACCAGAAGGAGACAACTGTTCTTTAAAAAAAACTATAAACAAAACACCAGCCAGAGCTTCAGGTAAAAACAGTAAGAGTCTTTGGCCTTCCTGCCTGGGAATGCTCCCAACCCCACGCCTCTACCCCAATCAATCACAGAGAATTGTAGTTTGACCAGCACAAGGCTGACAGCAAAAACGAGCAGACTTGCTGCTTGCTGACAAAAGATATGGACTCAATGTGGAATTGGAGGTTGTGGGCAGGAGGGAGGGGGTGATGGTGAAAACCTAAGGTTTTACCAACTAGAAGTGGCAAATTCAAAAGGAACAAAAGAGGAAAACCCACAGTTTTGCTTGGAGGTTGTAGCTCCAGTTAGGACAAGCAGTATAATGGCCAGAAACTTCATAGGGAGCTCCTGGAAATAAGGGCTCAGATAAGCTCTCCACACATCCATGGCTGAGGAAACTACACAAGCAAACGAGGAAGGAGGACGGGCGGGAGACAGAGCGGCAAGAAAGCCCAGTGAAAAGTAATAGCCAAGGAGACTTGAGAACTAGCTTGAATGCACTCTCCAACATCACACAGAAATCCTGGAAGGCCTACAAACTAAAGGTATTTGAGCAAAACCAGTGTGCAAATCATTGGCTGACACAATAAACTATGCAGACACAGAAAGTCAGAATAAAAAATAAATAGAAAAACTGAGCAGAGACAGGAGTAGTCATCTTTATTTATAGACAATGTGTTCTTATACTTAGAAAATGCTAAGACTTTACAAAAAGAACTAATCATGTGCCGCATAATGATGTTTCGGTCAACAACGGACCACATCTACAATGGTGGTCCCATAAGTTTAGTACCATACACCCTAGGTGTGCAGTAGGCTATACCATCTAGGTTTGTGTAAGTACACTCTATGATGTTTGCACAATGACAAAATCGCCTAATGACACATTTCTTAGAATGTATCTCCCTCGTTAAATGACACAGGACTGTACTAGAACTAGTAAGTGAATTTTAGCAAGGTCACAGGATACAAAATCAGTATTAAAAAACCATATATCATCAACTAACAATCCAAAAATAAAATTCAGAAAAAAATCCCATTAACAATAGCATCAAAAAGAACAAAATACTTAGGAATAAATTTAACAAAAGAAGTATAAACCCTATATCCTGAAATTATAAAACATTGTTAAGAGAAAAATTAGGACCCAAATAAATGGAGGGAAATACTATGTTCATGGATGAGAAGACTAAATATTGTTAAGATGGCAATTCTCCCCAAACTGAGCTACAGATTCAACTCAATCCCTATGAAAACAGATATCAAAACCCAAAACAGGGGTTGTTTTTGGAAACTGACAAGCTAATCCTAAAATGCGTATGAAAATGCAAAGGACCCTGAGTAGCCAAAGCAAAAAGCTTTTCCTCAAAAAGAAAACCAAAGTTGAAAGACTTACATTACCTGATTTCAAAGCTTACTTCAGTAGGCTACAGTAATCAAGACAGTGTAGCATTACAAGGACAGACATATAGACCAATGGACTAGACCAGAAAGCCCAGAAATAAATTCACAGATTTATGACAAACTGATTTTCAACAAAGGAGCCACAGTAATTCAAGGGGGAAGAAGTCTTTTCAACAAATAGTGGTGAAGGAAAAACTGGTACGTTTTACCTCACACTATCACAAAAATTAAATCAAAATGATTACAGACTTAAATGTACCAGCTAACGCTATAAAAATTCTAGAAGAAAACACAAGAGAAAATAATTGTGATTGAGGATTAGGGGAAGATTTCTTAGATATCACATCAAATGCATGATGCATAAAAGAAAAAACTGATAGATTAGATTTCATAAAAAGTAAACACTTTAAAAGAAACCATTAAGGAAAAGAAAAGGTAAGCCATGAACTGAGAGAAAGTATTTACAAACCACATAACTTATCACCGGTAAAAAACTTGTACCCAGAATATATAAAGACCTCTTAAAACTCAAAAATAAGACAAACAACCCATGAAAAATAGGCAAAATCTCTGAACAAACACCTCACCAAAGAAGATACGAATGACAAATTAGCACATGAAAAATGCTCAATATCATTAGTCATTAGGAAAATGTACACTGAAACCACGAGATACTATTACACATCCACTAGAATGGCTAAAATTAGAAAAAAAAACTGATAATACTATGTCATGGCAAAGATGTGGACAATCTAGAAACCTCTACTTTGCTGGTGGAATGTAAAATGGTACAGACTCTTTGGAAAACAGTTCGGCAGTTTCTTGAAAGTTAAACATTCACTCACCACATGATCTAGTAATTCCACTACAAGTTATCTACTCAAGAGAAAAGAAAACATGTCCACATAAAGTCTTGTATGCAAATGGTCATAGCAGCATTACTCCAACAAACCAAATGTACATCAACTGATGGATAAACAAAACGTGGTATATCCATAAAATAGAATACTATTCACCAACAAGAAGTAATGAACTACTGGGCCAGCCCGGTGGCATAGTGGTTAAGTTAGCACACTCCACTTAGGGGGCCCGGGGGTTCCTGGGTTCGGATCCCAGGCATGGACCTACACACTGCTTATCAAGCCATGCTGTGGGGCAGCATCCCATACACAAAATAGAGGAAGAGTGGCACAGACGTTAGCTCAGGAATAATCTTCCTCAAGCAAAAAGAGGAAGCCAGGCAACAGATGTTAGCTCAGGGCCAATCTTCCTCACTGAAAAAAAAAAGGGGGGGGGAAATGAACTACTAATACATGCAACGTGAATGAACATCAAAAATATTACACTAAACAAATAAAGCAAGACTTAAAAAACTATACATTATGAGTCCACCTATATAAAGTTTCTAGAAAAAGCTATAAAGTATAGTCAGAAAACAGATCACATTTGGGGTAGAATAGGGGATTAACTGCAGTCAAAAGGGAACTTGTAGGGGTAACAATACCAGAGGGTTTGCTTCTATCAGATTAAGGAGTTAACTTAAAGACTATGCACATTTTCATTTATCATGGGTCTACAACCCCCGAAGGCAACATCTGGGCTCAACACTAACTTAACACTACCTGAAGGACCACCTTTGGTCCCTGCATCATTTTTAGGACATCCTCATAAACTATTCTCTGATTGGGGCCCTACAGGATCCAGGAAACAGTCAACATCCCAGCAACCTCTGACCAGAGAGCACCTGTAATGGCCTACTTTAAGCCTATTTATTCAGCCTGAACACAGCTAGGCAATGAAAGAGTAGAGAATAGGAGAGTAGGGTGAGAAGTGAGTAGTCAATGAAAGGAAGCAGTTAATGAGACCAACAGGCCAGACAGGGACTGTGCTCTGTGACGGACATATGTCAAAGTGGAAGAAACAAAGAAAGGAGAGTTAAACAAATGACTGAGTTAGATAGAAAATGCATGATTAATAACTAAGGTAAATGGAGACTCTATAAATGCACAAAAAATATGTATCTGAAATTGTATAGCTACGGAAGCTGTAAATGGAATTTGTTAGAAGTATTGCCTTTCTTCAAAAGGATGAAGGATAATGCTAGTAAGCACAAGGATCATTAAAGTTAACACAAGTCAATCCTCTGAGAACAGGAACAAGACAAGGGTGCCCGCTCTTGCCAATCCTATTCAACATAGTACTGGAGGTTTGGACAGAGCAATTAGGAAAGAAAAAGAAATAAAAGGCATCCAGATTGGAAAGGAAGAAGTGAAACTCTCGCTGTTTGCAGAAAACATGATCCTATACATAGAAAACTCTAAAGAATCCACCAGAAAACTATTAGAAATAATCAACAACTACAGCAAAGTTGCAGGGTACAAAATCAACTTACAAAAATCAGTTTCATTTCTATACACTAATAAAGAACTAGCAGAAAGAGAACTGAAGAATACGATCCCATTTACAATTGCAACAAAAAGAATAAAATATCTAGGAATAAACTTAACCAAGGAGGTGAAAGATCTATGCACCGAAAACAATACGACATTATTGAAAGAAATAGAAGATGACATAAAGAAATGGAAATACCATTCAATCCATGAGCATGAAATACCTATATGAGAGGGTGCATTACCTCACCCACCCACCCCAGCCCGCCCCCGCCACTACTTTGCCCTATGCATCTCGTACATTTAGCTGTTCCTGAGTTGTATCCTCTATAATAAACCCGTAACGTAAGTATAGTGCCTTCCTGAGTTCTGTGAACCATTGTAGCAAGTTATCAAACCTTAGGAGGGAGTCATGGGAACCTCTCTTTACAGCCGGTTGATTAGAAGTACAGGTGGCTACAGAATTGAACTGGCACCTGAAGCGGGGGCAGTCTTGTATGACTGAGCCCTTAAACTTGTAGAGTCTGACGCTAACTCTGGGTAGTTAGCATCAGAATTGAACTGAATTGCTGGACGCTCAGTTGGTGTCTGGAGAATTAGAGAATTCATTGTCGGTGTAGGAAAACATCCCAGAGGGAGGAAAGCTGACAAGTAGAATTCCTATTTTCAAGAATATTCATCCCTCCCCCCGAAAATCCTCTTAGGTCCTCTCCTTTACCAGTAAGTCCTCATGTAAGTGAGCTGACTACAAATTTCATCATCTCAAAACCATTTTCACATGTATGTCTTTAAACTTCAGAGACATAACAAGTATAACAACAACAACAAAAAAATCAGGCTTTATAGTGCGAAAGGAACCTAGATGTTCTCCTTCATACTGTATCCTTGTGGGACAAAACTAAAAACAAATACACGTGACTTACTAAGTAAACTGTCTAACATATCTACATCCAAATCTGTGGATTTCTTTTGCTGCTGGGCTACTAACTGGCAAAAGTCCTGAGCAGCTCTCACAATATCTGCTTTTCCATCTTCTGGGGACAGCACCTTCACTGCTGATTGGCAATTTAAAACTGGAGGAGAAAACAAACAAGACATTAAAAAAAAAATACTCTATTCCAGATATATTTCACAGTCAGTTTCAAGAAACATTAAGTTCAGACCAAAATAAAGGTACAGTTCTTACAGTAAACAAGAATCACTCAAGCCCTCCAATTTCAATATCAAAACATACTTAGCTGCTGTCCTCTGAAAGGACCCATGCATCACATCTGTCTATATATTTAAATACTGCCTTCTTTTCAAAGTGCTCAGAATGACCTTTTATCTGTGAATAAATCCTCTATAGAGAACAGGAATTTTAATTATAGGGTAAACTATAATTTCCACTCATCTAAAACGCCACCTACAATCATGGTACAGTTACCAGTAACCCAGGATAGAAGACAAAAATAACAACTGTAGGAAAAAAATATGTTTCAATGGAATATGCATTGTCTACCGCACACACATCCACCTTATCAAATTCTGATTCTATAGAAGCTATTTTACAATTGATAGGATACTAGGTAAGTGATAGCAATGCCAAATTCTTGTCTGGTAGAGGTTCAATTATCTTCCCTCTAATCCCACAGAAAAGCCAGTTTTGCCTCTATTTACATATTCATTTCAATATTCCTGATCTAGAAATGTGTCCGTTCTTTGGATTCTCTTGAATCGGTATAAAATCTGCCTGGCTCCTGGTTATTTATGAGTTAAATAAAATCTTTAACGTGTGTTTATTTTTTAATGTCTATGAGAGTTATGATTTTATCTTTTTCAGAAAACAATCTTTTAACAAGATAAAGATAGAAAAATCTAAATCTGATGATTAAAGATGTTGACAATAAAGACTAACAGGGCAAAATGAATGAATAAATACATGAATGACAGGATTTTCCTTGAAACACAAACATATCTGCATGTTAGCTATTCAACTTTACATTCACGCTTACCTTGATCATCTTTGTCATTACTATTTGCAAACTCTGCTGAGTATTTGGAACAATCTAAGCCCAGAAGTTCCTGCTGTTGTTTTAAAATTTCATCCATCAATCTGGAATTATTTCTTTTGAAAATACCTTAAAAAGAAAAAAAGCAAGTAAATCCCAACTAGGTTAATTTATCTTCTTCAATAATTAATGGACGCCAGTTGTGAAAACAACACTGGATCTAGAACTGAACAAATTCCAAGTGAAGCAGTGATGACTAATTCTAAACTAGAATCTAAAAGGAAAACATGACCACAAAACTTTGTTAATACAAGAGTCTGGTCTCAGCCTAAAGACAAAAAAAGGATAGGGTAACTACTTAAGTGTCAATATGAATGTGACAGAAATTTAGATCTAGAAAGAAACCAGACAAAACTAACAAACCCAAAATTTAGTAAATTCAAACAAAGCACAGAAATATACCACATAAAACTGTTTTTGATCCTCCAACCATGCACAGAAAATTTAACTACTATCATGTCGTTGAGAAAGATGAACTATGAGACATATATTTAGTATAACACCAATATAGAGAGCTCTAACTAATAACAAGCGACAAGTTTTTGGCATTTTCAGAGAGGCCAGCCTTCTAGTGGCCATTGCCTTTACGACCTTTATCAAGTGTTTCTCTTGGTCAGATCTGACTTTAAAACATTTCAAAGATTAACTAGGAGAGAGAACACAGTAAATATATACAAAATAGCATAGATTATGCTGAATATGCTGTACACAAATGCTAACGCGGCAGGACATGCGTAACAACAGTTCAAAGATAAAAGCAGTCTCCTTTGGTAGGAAAAGGCTTGGTAAGATAAGCAAGACTTGAGCTGAGCTGATCTCAGAAAGTTAGAAGAAAATGGAGAGGATATTTGAATGGGGAAAAGGCTGAACAAAAAGCACTGAATGCTCAAAAGACAGACAAATGCTGCTGGTACAAAGGACCTGAGAAAAGGCGCAAGGGGATAGGTCTAATTTTTATTTCATTTTGCTTACCCACTGGGTAACCAACGATTTCTGGGCAATGTGGAAATGTATATCTGTAGGAAAATTAACCTGGCAACAGCACAGAGAAGGCCAGGCAGCAGACTATTGCAGTAGTCCTACCTAACCTGATGAAGCAATGGAAAAGGATTCACTACAAAGGAAGAATTGAGAGAATCAAGAGCATGACTTAATTACAGGTGAACATAGAAAATTCCATGGCCTTAAATCTGGGTAACAGAAAATGATAACTCTTTTTTTTTTTTTTTGGTGAGGAAGATCGGCTCTGAGCTAACATCTGTTGCCAATCTTCCTCTTTTTGCTGAGGAAGATTGGCCCTGAGCTAACATCATGCCCATCCTCCTCTATTTTGTAAGTGGGACGCTGCCACAGCATGGCTTTATGAGCAGTGCGTAGGTCCAGGCCCAGGATCTGAACCTACGAACCCCAGGCCCCTGAAGCGGAGCACGCAAACTTAACCACTACACCACCAGGCTGGCCAGATAACATTTTTTAAAGTAGAGAAATTCTACAAAGAGAACTGGTTTGAAGAAAAAGATAAGTTTAGTTTTCGATAGCTGATGATAGAACATTAAGGTGGGGTTTAGAGGCATAAGCGAAGGATGTTCAAAAGAGGTCAAATAAGCACCGTGTGGTAGGGCTCTCAGCTGTTCTGCTTACCAGGGGCTAGCACAGGGCCTGGCACAGAACACTCAACACACAAATGTCTGCTGAGAGAAGGCGAAGACGACGGGTCAAGGACTGGCTGGGGATTGGGAAAGGCTTCTTTAGGGTAAGTGACATTTCAGCTGGCCCAGGAAGAATTAGGAGAATTTTACAGGGGTGGGGCTGGGAAGGTAACATAACAATGGATGAAGCACGGAGGTGTAGACGTACATTTGGGAGTCATCCTCCTTAAGGTGAGAACCACACACACAAGAAACGATAAATAAAATTTCTAAAGGTAAAAGAGTATACGTGGAGAAGAGCAGAGGGCTAAGGATATGGCTCCTTACGAAAGCCACAATCATAAGACTCTAAGCTTGGAAATAAAGAGGTGAACATTTTGTAATACCCATATCCAGAGCAAGATTAAACAAAAAAAGATATTCCCAAATACAAAGAAAATTTTTAAAACAAGGTGATTAATATCAGGAGCTATTTGAACAACAATGTTTAGAACAGTAATACTTGTGTAGCAAGCAATACAGATGTATAGGATATAATCATTATCCTCAAGTCAATCATAAAATTCACATGTATGATACAAAAGCATATACTACAAAACAGCACATATGATATATTACGAGACTTCCAATTATCTATGCAAGAAAAAATAATAATTTAGACCACACTTTGGTCTATATTGTAGGTATAAATTATGGAAGGCACCTGAATTTCAAAATTTTTTAAATTTAAAAACATAAGATCTGCATAACACTACTGCCAGGACATGAGTTTATTAAAAATAAAATGTTAAATTAATCTTTTTCTCCTATGAACTAAGATTTATTCATTTTAATAGTAACCCAACACTAGGAACCCTTGTTTTTATCTTTTCACACCACACTGATCCCTTCCTTTGATAGGCTAAAAGACCTATGCTTCAATTCTCGGGAATTCGCTCATCTTTACCTTTGTCTCCAGATTAAAATGGGGAAGTTTTTCAGGAACTCTTGCTCTCTCCAAGGCAATGGATGACAATCTTCATCACCAAACTGGTCACTACCTCTTCTCAACCTTTACCCTTTCCTCCTCAACCTTTCTGAAGCAGCACCATCAATGATCACCCTGCTTCCTTCTCAAAGATCCTATGCTCATTTAAGCTTGTCTGAATGTCCTCTCCTGGTTCAACTCCCAATCTGCTCCTTGAATGGCCCCTTCTCACCTTGCACTGCATCTTCTTCCTCTTTCCACCCTAAGTGGAGATGACTCAGAGCTCCTACCTCAGCCCTCTCTTTCTGTCCATGTGCTCCTCCTTCTCTGATTCTAGCCACTCACAGGAGTTTAAAACCACTCAGGACCAGGACAAGGGGAAGATGCTTGAGGCAAAATTTAAGGGGGCGCCAAAAAAAATCAGTAATTAAGATAAATAATGACAATGCAAGATCTTTAAAAACTTAAAATTAATGCAAAACATCTATGATGTACAAAGCATTAAAATTTTAAGTAAAAACAGGATCAGCATTTGGCTCCTAACATTTCCAGTTCATTTAAACATCTAATCCTACCTACAAGTTTTGTAAGCATCTGAAAATAAACAAGTCTAAAACCTGGCAGCTTATCTTTTCAAGCTGGCTCCCAAACACTTATATTACATCAAGTTAAAAAAAACAATAGAGAAGTACTGAAAGTGTAAAACTTATATGCATTTAGGGATAAGGCCTGGAAGAGAATAGACAATATGAGAACAGTAAATGCAAAAGGTTAATGGGACAATAGGTGATTTAAAATCATAACTGCTATATAATTTAAAAAATAGCCCTTCTTGGGGGGCCGGCCCCGTGGCATAGCAGTTGGGTGCGCGCGCTCCGATTCTGGCGGCCCGGGTCCGGATCCCGGGCGCGCACCAATGCACCGCTTGTCAGTGGCGGCCTCCCATATAAAGCAGAGGAAGATGGGCACAGATGTTAGCCCAGGGCCAGTCTTCCTCAGCAAAAAGAGGAGGATTGGCACGGATGTTAGCTCAGGGCTGACCTTCCTCACCAAAAAAAAAAAAAAAAAATAGCCCTTCTTCTTGTTCTATTTCTAATACAGGCATCAGCACCTGCCCAGTCACCCAGGCATCTATCTTCTCTCCTCTCTAGCACTATCACCAACACCCCCCGCCGCACCCTGTTAATATGCTAAACCCACATACTACTCTTCTACAACAATATTTCCTCTACCCATTTCCTTTTGTCCATTGTCCCCACTGTTTCAAGTAATAGTCTTCTTCTTTATAAAATTAAAAAAATATAAAAACCACCTTCTAATGGGTCTTTCTGTCCCTTCTAGGAAGTATCACTAGATTGACTATCAGATTAACCTTCTTTGGGTACATCTTCAGTCCTGGCACATTCCAACTTTAATATCTTCAATGGCTCCCAAAATGCTTAAAGTATTAAGAACAAACTGCTCAGATCAGCATTAACGTTCCAGCCTATGCTTCCACACTTGGTGGGTGGAAATAACTTACGTTTATGAAATAAATGAATCTTTCTGTTTCTGTATAATACTCTAACCTTAGCAAATTAGACTGCCTATGTTCCCCCCCAAAACACATGCAGTGACTCCAACCTCCACCCTTTGTTCTGCTCCCTTCCCAGCCCCACACCTGCGAAACTCTCCTAATTCTTCCCAGGCCAGCTGAAACGTCACTTACCCTCAAGAGGCCTTTTCCAATCCTCCAAGCCAGATGTGCCCCATTCCTCCTCTGACTCACCTCACCCCCTCCAAATACACACATTTTGTTCAAATTCCTTAATAAACCAATAGTCTCCTTTTTATTATAGTTAGAGCTTAACTCCTCTACTGAAGTATAGTCTTACTTGTGAACTTGGGTCTTACCTCTTTTCTCCTAAGGCACCTTCCACGTAGCAGGAGTTCAGTGTTTACTTAATAAACTAAATTATCAGTGCACAGTGCCGCCTAACAACAACAAAACCTAGATGAACATGTCACTGAATGGAATTTTTTAAGTTTCCAGGAAGCTCTCACAATAAAAGCAGACAATTCCTTATTGTACACAGGCAGAAACTCTATTAAAAAGGAAGAATATTAAACAGAGGCCCAGTTACAAAGTATCTTTTATAAAGAAGAATTTCATAAAGATTTTTTTTTATTTTTTTATTTTTTATTTTTTTTGTGAGGAAGATCAGCCCCTGAGCTAACATCCATGCCAATCCTCCTCTTTTTGCTGAGGAAGACCAGCCCTGAGCTAACATCTATTGCCAATCCTCCTCCTTTTTTTCCCTTTTTCTACGCAAAGCCCCAATAGATAGTTGTATGTCATAGTTGCACATCCTTCTAGCTGCTGTATGTGGGACGCCGCCACAGCATGGCCCGACAAGTGGTGCGTCGGTGCGCGCCCGGGATCTGAACCCGGGCCACCAGCAGCGGGCACAGTT